ATTAAACTTATTAGTGACTTTCTCCAAATGATCGGTGATAAAGCTTTGCTGCAGGGTGTTCTCCAGCAACAAAGCAGGGCTTTAAGAACTCTGTTTTTGACCTCTCTGAGGATTCCAGGATCTTTTTTTGTCATTCGCTTCACAGAAACATAATGTTAATGAATAGAAACTGGTTGCCCAGGTCCCGGTGACAGAAGATAAAAACTGGCAACTATATTAAAATTGAGTAAGAATAAAAAAAAGAGTAAATAAACAAATAAGACACATAAAATAGGACAACAGCAACATCAGGAGCGGCCTGACGGTGGAACAGAAGCAGGAAGGCTTCAGAGCCCCCAGAGCCCAGGAAACTGTCCACCACACACCAGGACTGGGCTCCTCAGTCCTGCTYGCTTTCAGCCRTGGTGGGCCTTTCAGATCAGCCTGGAAGTGTTTATGTTCCATGTGAGGTCATCGCTCAGGTGGACACCCAAGATGCACTTCCACTTGTAATAAGATATTTAGACCTTTTTTTTTGCAACAGACTCCAGACGTTTAGAGCACGAGTTCTTGATCATGAAAAAGCTGAAGATCGTCTGGTCCTGGTATTTGAGCTGGTAGGATGGAGGACGGAAGTGAAGGTCCACTGTTTAAATGAATATTGAGTCTTTTAAGGAACAAGTTCTTCCTCTGGTTGAATGTTGCATCACATTTTATTAAATTAGACAAGGATGAAAACAAATGATTAAATAAAACCCTAACTTTCCATGAAGTACTATTTATCACTCGTCAACCTTTCATGCCAGAGATTTAATCATTCTATGATGAGACAGAACAGAGTTGAAACCATTCTGGTCAAACGTCGTGCGAGATGTGAATGTTTGTTGTAAAAGATTACTGTGCAACATTTGATAAATATCTGTAAATTTAGTGAGGATTTTTAAACACGACTATCTGTTTTAAATCAGAGAAAAAAAATTYATGCTCTTTGCTGTTTTTTTCTCAGAAGTATTATTTGAAAAGAAATCCATAATAAACATGGAAGTAATACCTTACTGAAGAATAATCATGTGGTGTTTGAAGCTCTGTGATGCTTTAGTTGCTAAGAAACCTGAACTAAACAGCAGCATCTGTGCTCTGACAAACTCAACCAGCTCATTTAGCTGGATTACCTGGCTATAACTAGGTTTTTATTTTTTATTTTTTGGCTTATTTTTTACCCGCAAATATACTCTGAATTTGTGTTTTCTGTTTTAAATATGATCAATAAAGGCTTTGGGATTTACGGTCTAATGTTGTAGTACGCAGATTTATGTAATATTTGCAGTTAGAAGGCAAAAAGAACAGAAACAAGTTTAGTTCGATCTCAGATTTGGTGCAAATCTAAATAGGATCATCAAAATTTTATAACAGCATATCAGCTGTCTGATAAAATACATCATAATTAACGTCTTCTGTTCTCCACAGACTTAATATTATGCAAATGACAAAGATTATCAGTCTGCAGCCCTWTGTTTGGAAGGATTTAGACTAAATAAATGTTGATTTTGAAGGTTGTTCAAGAGAATCGTTTTGTCTTCTGTCTCAGATGAATAATGCTGACCTCGGCAGAAGCTTGTGTGTATTTGTTGAGAGTTAAAGCATTGCTCTCTGATTGTCCGTGGCAGTCTTTACATGTCATTWCATGTTACATTATTATGTTGTTTTCATATTATATTCCTTATTTAATCTTAATACATCCAACATTTGTGTGAATATTTATTCATTAGGCTTATTTTTGAAACCTGACTATGACTGTATACCTTTTTTGATATCTTAGCTGTTCATAAATCAAAAGTTACCTCATTCAGGGGATGGGTACTATGATTTTTGTTTATCTAACTTATACCGTTTAAATTATGTAACTTTACAAATGTTTCTTTGACGAAACATTCAGTATCTTTATTTTCTTCAGAAACTTTGTTTTTTTTWAATTTGCTTCTGCATACTTGCTCTAGTTTGGGCCTTTTCTGCTATAGCTAGCATTCTGAACATTTAGCTAACGTTTTGTTACTTTTACCGAACCTTTTGCTACTTTGACCTTTTAGCTCACATTTTCTCTGTTTTACCTCAAACAATTCAGCTTCAGCTTCTTCAGCTAATTTCTGCAAAGTTACTCAATGCTCAGCATTCACGCTGCATTTTTAAATCTTGTTTTCTATCTGTGTAATGTAACAGCACTCGTGTTTATTTGGGTCAAAGGCTCATCTTATGGCTCTATCTGCCAACTGGTTGATTTTGAAAAAAGTGAGCTCAGTCAGTCAGTTTGAAATCTTACAGATAAGTGTTGTTTTGGTTTGTGAAGTCTTCTCTGTTTTGTGACGTTTTCCTAACTGTATCTGTCAGCAGTTTGCACACACAGTCTGTTTTATTTGTAGATTTCACTGTGTATTTGTAGGCGTTTCACATTTCAACCAGGAATCAATACAGCCTAATAAACCACATTATTATGACCTTGGCATTTGTGGTCTGCACCTTTTTTTTTACTGTTTTGGTTACTTTTGACCTCAAACAGCTCACTGGAATTCATTTCTTATATACAGTATTTCTGCAGTGAAAAAAGCCTATTTTCTCTCAAATCATGCTTTTTTTCTGATTTGTGTCCAAAGTACAGCTCTGCTGTTTTCCCTTGTTATATTCAGCACAGGCAAGCTGGTTTTAATTTGTTTATTTTACTCTTTGTTTATTTTTTAATAATTTTGTTTGTTTTCAGGTTAAATACTTAGAATTGATTTTTTGTTCTTTTAATTGAAGTCATTAAATTCATCTGTTAACCAACACACTCAGGTTTTAACAACTTCTGCCACTGTATGACCTTAAAACATGTTTGTCTTGAATTTTGATGTTTTTCTTATTTTTGGTACAATGAGAAGAATTACTGGGATTAGTGAATATAAAAGGCAGCACATGACCTTATATTGAGTGCACTGTGGTATGGGTGAAATTATCTCAGCAATAATTATTGAAAATATAGATTCAATGTTTTCTTTGTAAAACAATGAAATGTTTCACTTAAATGTGATTTTTTTTATTTATTTATTTGTATTTTTATTTTTTATCCTTTTTTTTTTTTTGCTTATAAATGATTATGAAGCCCATTAGCCTGAAATGTTACTTTTTGTCTGCTTATTTATTAGGGACAATGGCAGAAGCAGCTTTTGACTCATCTTTGTGAATTTACAATTTAATTATTTATATTTTGTTTTGCCCGGAAGTTGTACCAACAAAAACCTAAGTAGTCTTTTTTCTTTTTATTATTATTATTTTTTTTTTTTTTTTCAAAATTTTATGACCCCCGCTTCATCATTTGGAATTTCTTATAATTGTGGTTAGGTTAGGTAAAACAAATGTTAGTTACTAAAGTGAAAACCACTGTGAGGCAGGGGACACCCTGGACAGGTTGCAAGTCCATCACAAGGTTGCCGGATTGAATCCCAGCTGGGGACCTTTAGAGTTTGCATGTTCTCTCCATCCATGCATGCATGGGTTTTCTTCAGGCACTCCAGTTTTCTCCCACAGACCAAAAACATGAATGTTAGGCTAATTGTCAACTCTAATTTGTCCCTAGAAAGTGTGAATGGTTGTTGGTCTCATTTGTTCATGTGTCCTGAGAGGCAAGAGCTCTACCAACTGAGCCGCCATGCCACCCTCAATAAATAAAATAAAATAAGCATTATTATTTGATTATATTACTTTTGTTAATTACCCATTACAAAAGTTTTGTCAGATTATCCATAAAATCCAAAGAAGTTGTTTATAGAAATCAAACTTTTCTGTTTTTATTGATCAAACTTTTTCTTTGACCTAAAGTCTCTGTCTCTTCACAGAAAACTAAAATATCAACACTTTAAAAGTTTATTTTTGAGGCCGACACCTCATGTTTCCATGGAAGCTATTAGCAAAAGAATGGATGTCTACACACAGCCACATCATAGTTAGATTTTAAAAAATCCTCTTTCTGTACTTAAACACGTGCAGCTGGGTGAGTTTTTCAGATACACATATAAGTTTATATTTATAGTATTAGGTTAGGTAAAAATTAGCAGTGAAGACTTTGTGTCGCAATGAAAAACAGTTTAAACTGAACAAACGGCGATCTTATATTGAAGTTATCAATCTTTTTAAGAAGCTTTATTTGTTTTTGTTTGTTCATAGACAAATGCAGCAAGTGTGTGTGTTGTGACAGAAAAGCTGCAGGGCTTCAGAAACCTGGTTCTGTTTTTGCTCTTCACAATCACCTTATCAGTAAAACTTCTTATTTTATTTCAGCCTGAAGGCCTCCGAGCTGTAGGAATTTGCCTCAAGCTGAGATGAAAAACTAATTTATCAGATGCCTAATTGAACAACAAATGTGTGCCAGAGAAGTATGATTTGCATAGAGAACATTTTAAGTGTTCCTCTTTTTTTCCTGCCTGTGGAGCTGCATTTTGGGGATGTTTTTTGAGGAAACAATAATTCTTTGAAGCAGCGATAATTTGTTTCTCATGGTTTTTATTTGAAAAACTCAATAAAACAACTTTCTTGTTGTAAACCAGAGCCTACCTGGTGTTATTAAAAAAATTAGGAGGTAAAAACATAATTTATAGGGGTTGAAAGTTTTAAATATTAATGTTTTCTGTAGATTTTATGATCAAACAATCTTAGAGATTAGTTCAAAGCATAAAACAGCAGGTATTCAAAAAACATTTTTCCAAATTATATGTGACAAAGTAATGTGTGATAATTACAAAATGAGTCAAATGATACTGAGTCTGTTCTTTGTTCTGTTTTATAATTTTAGAAAGTTGCAAAGCTGGTTAATGAAATTGTGTCTTATTGTAGAATGTAACCAAAACTACAAACTTGTTTATTTTTCCCTTCATTTATTTTAATTTAGAAGAGGGTGGACATGACTTCAGTTACAGAAATAACTTTGAATGAAAGTTTATGCAGTTTTGAGCAGAAAAATCAAAACACATTTATTCAGAATAATCAGCACAAACCTGAGCTCACAACTACACCATCGGTCTCTGACGTGTTGCAGGACTAGTCAACATCTGGCCCGCAGGAGCTCATCTGGTCCATCAATGAGTTCATTTAAACTAGATTTTAAATCATAAGGGAGGAAAAAAACATCCATGTGATATTTTTGTATTTGCCACTTGGCTGCAGCTGCCATCTTGAATTAGGTTGACTCCTAAATTTAAAAGGTTTTACTTGTACACCAAATGATTACTTCCTAAATATTTCATTCAAATCCATGAGATATTTTACCAACAAACAGTTGACTCCAATAGGTGACAGTTTTCACACCATCAATTAGTTCTTAGAATATAAGTTGAGGATGACTCTCAATATTGTAAAATGTACAGATTTATATTATAGCCACTTTTGTATTTGGTAATGTTGCTCAGTGGCGGCGGCCATATTGATTCCAAAAGGTAATCCGTTGTCGATGTGCATCTTTGAGTTTCTTTAAATTACTAAGTATTCTACTAACAAACATTTTACCCTTTTTCCAGGTATGCTTTTTTTTTAACCAGTTTTATTTATCTAGCTCTGACTGCAGCTACCGCATGAAAGAAATGGCTGATTGTCAGGGGCGTGGCCTACAAGGGTCATACTGGAAAGTCCAGCAGCCAAGCTAACATGTCTTCTTTTCTTGAACAATCCTGCGGAAAAAAGTCTTTCAACTGACAAATGGATGGATTTTTTTCACATGCTGTGTGTTTGAGAGTTTTTTTTAATAGTATGGTGAAAGCTTATTAAAAGTACAAGTGTTTAAACATGTGTGACTGATTAAATGTGTCCACATTATTTGTGTGCAAGGATGCTGAACAAACACTTGGCCCTTCTATGAATATTGTGGCCCCTTGATGGCCACTTATTCCAAAAAAATCACTTATCAGCCACCAGTGTTGTAGAAAGTACCACAAGGTGATACCTGAGTAAAAGTAAAAGTATCTTACCAAAAAATTACTTTGGTAAAAGTTAAAGTCTCCTTTAGGAATATTACTTGAGTAAAAGTCTTAAAGTATCTGATAGTTTTTGTATTTAAGTAATAAAAGTATTGATTTAAAATGAGCAGTTATATTTTCTGTAATGACATTTATTAGGAGGTGATCTCCCCAACAAAATGTAGAAATGACTGTCATATTAATTTATAGTAAATTTAGGATCCACTAGTCTAGTTGTTTCAGTTTATATATCAAGGCTGCCCAAACGTTTTCCCCTAAATAAAAATCTGAGGGCTGCGGCCAAATGCAACAATATAATTCATGAAATACAAATACTTCTTAAGTACAGTACTTTTGTTTTAAAGATTATGTCCTGCTGGAGTGAGACATGATTTGTTTGTGTACAAACTAATACGGTATCAGAATTTTATATATTTATACTTCTCATTCAACCACAGTTAAATTCACTATCTAGAAGGCACAATTTACAGTGGGTAAAATAAGTATTGAATACGTCACCATTTTTCCTCAGTAAATATATTACTAGAGGTGCTAATGACATGAAATTTCCACCAGTTGTCAGCAACAACCCAAGTGATCCATACATACAAAGAAATCAAACCATAAAGGTCCAGAAATGAAGTTATTTGTAATAATGTGGAATGGCACAGGGAAAAAGTATTGAACACATGAAGAAAGGGAGGTGTAAAAA